AAATAAATAAATAAATAAATAAATAAATAAATAAATAATACTGTTTAAAGAGGAAGCACAAGCCACAGTATTCTTCAGAAAAGGAAGAGTCCCTGAGACTTCATTATAAATGAGGACCAAATGTTGCACGAACATTTCTTCTACCAAATAAAGGTTAAGGTAGCTCTAACACATGCCACTTACTCTGGTCGGCAAATCACTAGGTCACCCTTATTCGTGCCATATGCCAATCCCAAACCTGGTTCAGGAAGCCAACGAGCAGAATTTATGCTGACGTGTCTCCTTTGATCAGCAGGCATTGGGTACAGAACATTGAATACTCTCTACAAGGAAAAAACACACAGAGACACTAGTGAGTCAAACAGGTAATAATCAGTTTGGCAGACAAACCAGTCTTTTACATAATGCTTCATTAATTAACAGACAATCAACAGAGAAGTAGGGAACTATAATCATTGATCAACTTGAACAGAAACGAACTGTCTAACAGTCTCTTTCAGAAAAAAGGCTGAAGTATTAACTAGTCCCAGGGAGAAATGTACAGATTATCGCTATGAAAATGATCAAGTTCTAAAGGCCATTTTCCTTGTGTGATTGCTGCCAAAATGAAAAAGCTGGCAAGGTCAAGATAACAACTTTTTGCAGTACAATTGTTCAGACATCTGCTTTCTAACTCTGCTTCCATTTTATCTTCTGAAACCTTCCAGTTTCTGCTTCCCTTCTTTCCTCTGATTCTTAAAGTGGAAACAGTTCTGCTGTCTATCTGTATAAAGCAATCAAATGTGTAGTAGCTACAACAATATAAAAGTTAACAATGATGTATCAGTTAAGTTGAATGCCTATAAAGGTAACACTAGAATATCAAATTACTGTTTCCCAATTTTTTTTCCTGTGTGATAGACACTTAATCTGTTCTCTGGCCTTTTATTTTGCTCAGTTAAGAGACATCCAGAAAGTTTCAGGGTCAATCAAGGCTGTTTAGCCTCTGATGTTATCTTCAATACTTACAACATCTCAGTGTATTTATTCTATTCTATTCTTTTCTTGACTAGGTAGCAAAGAATTCTGTGCACACTGATACTATTTGTTACCATGGAGATTATGGTATGCACTTCAATTTTAATGGGGTTATGATAACAGGAATGCGTTTATGAGAGTAAAGCAGCATTTATTGAAAAAATAAGCATTGTTTGAAGTGTGACAGAAGAAAACGAACACTCTGGCGATTAAATTGCAAACATATTTCATGAATAAACAGTGTGTCTTGGTCAACTGCCTCCTGCTAAGGAACAGTGATTGAGAAAAGTACTTTCTGGGCTTGCCACCAGCTCCTGCAATCTTTATATTAAACAGCCATTGATAAAAGCTGCCTCGACGACTCCACTCTGTCTGCACCCACCTCAAGTCCTTCTCAATCATGCCATGTTGGATGGGACTGGTAGCTGTGTAAGCTTAAAATCACCATGGTAGTCCCAAACTGAGAAAGGCTGCAATTTCTATGTTCTAGATCCATACCGCAACAGCAGCAGCTGGCAGAAGCATGCCAAGATATGTAAAACAATGTCCACACACGGTTGTTTATTCATCTATATCTCCTCCTCCTTCAATAACTATTGGTGTTCCACACAAATAGGCATATGTCATGCAGCATTAAGGGTCAATTAAGGAGTATTACAATCATTAGATAAATGTAATCAGGGTATTTTAAAAGCTGCTTTTGCGACTTATCTTCATCAGCCAGGTACATTTATTCAGTATTTATTAACCACAATAATGTATGTTAGTAACTACTCAAGATGTTCTCAAAGAATTTTTTTGTCATTGTGCAGTAACTGTACAGCTATCACAAGGAATTCAAATAATCTTCATTCAACAGAAGACTTCTGTTGAAAAGAAGTCACTATTTTGTATCACCATGAAAATATTTTTTCTTCCTAGCAAGTGCAACCATTTATGGGATTTAGAGAGGTGCTACATAAAAGCCATGAGTATCTGTTATCAACTGTGCTGTCACTAATGACAAGTAGCAATTCACTTCTCCACTCAGGCTAGCTGTACACACAGAAAAATGTCCTTATTAGAGATGCATAAAACAAAAAAAGTAGTGCAAATATTTCTCCATTCTTACTTTAGATGAGAGTTGATCAGAAATCTGTATCATTTGCTGAGAAGTGCTGAGAAGAAGAGTTAAATTGTAATCCAGGATAAGGCAGCTTCTCACCCCAACTAATAAAAAATGCTGAAAGAATACTAGTGGGTATTTAACCTTAACTAACTTACTAGTGATTACTGTAGTGTTAAAACTCTTAAACAAAGCCAGACTGCACCTATGGGGGCAGTTTTTCTGTTCATGTTTGTTTGTTTGTTTGTTTTTAGGATAGGGAGCCTGGACATTTTTTTAGTTTCTATAGGATGTGTATGGTTTGCAGCCACACTTTGTCCACTCCTAGTATAGTATGTTTGGGAGAATTCCTCCTAAGAAAGGAATCATATTTCTTAAGAGATATACAACTCACATACAAGCACATACACATGTGATGTCACAAATGTACAAAATTATCAGATAGGCTATTCAGTACCTTCTCAACTTGACACAGGTTAGAAATTTTCAACTCTTTTCTCTTTTTATATATTCCCGCCAGAAGCCTCTGGCCAGATGTATACATATCACTATGTTAGCAGCATAGAATTGAGATTTGATTTTGTGTTTTATTCTACTGAGTTCAACCAGCTGGGAGAGAATAAAGAAGTGCTGCAAGCATGTCCTCTGCTGATGTCTCTGTAACACTGGCCATAATTTTAATACTGTGGTATTGTTTTTCATATCTAAACATGTAAGCAAGAAGCTAAAAGTTGTACCTCATAAACTGTTAAGAAGCAAAAATCCAGGAAAAAAAATTCTTTTACTTTCTTTCTTTCTTTCATTGATGAGTACATTTTTTAAAATAGCCTTTACTAACATTATTGGCTCTCAGGGCAGTTTGCCACTGATGAGAAGCAGTTTGAGGAAAATCCAAGTTGGTTCAATTCCCATTCCTATCCGAACTGCCAAATCCTCATCCATCTCCTGTAGTCTGATGGCTAGATCCTATTGAATATTAGAGGAACGTTAACACCTTACCAGTGTAGTAATAGAGGATCCTCTGCTTGTGCAAGTGTTATCATTACATAAGATGGAAGTAATTTACATGTGCAATAAGGTCCTGTGTATCTTTTTGCACAAATGATGAAAACGATGCATTATATGAGCGTTTGACTTCATTGGATCCTGGCTTAACCTTCTAGACATATGCAGCTTTTTCACTTTGACCATTCTATTCCCCTTCAACTGGCATAACCTGTTGCTTAGATTAGTTTGATCTTTCTGGTTTCTAGTTCTAGGATCTTCCAGTACACACCAATGTGTGACTTGGGGCACAGAAAGAAAAGGATGATAAGTAAGTATAACGAATAAAATATTTTTGCCAGTGGATGTTCTCTTGTGTGGTTTGTTTCCTTAGGAACCAATCTTCATTAATTTTCTTTCTTTCTTTCTGCTGCTCAGTTAAAGGCATCTCTTGTATTCCAAAAGAGATACTTAGTACAGTATTACCTTTCTAAACTCCTTCCAGAGTATTTAAGGAGACTTGGTAGTTGGCAGGTCAGCAGTAAGGTGTTTTTTTTAAACCCACCAAGAAAGAGCAGTGCCTTTTTTTCATTTTTGTAAAAACTTTCATTACATATGCAAATATGAAAGAAAGCAACACAGTTCCACAGATATTTAGGAACACATCTTAGGAGCTACTAAGTGGTGCTGTATCAGTTGCTTCTGCCAGACAAAGAAATCATCCATTTTGGATTTAAAGTGAGCTTTGCAACTTTTTATTGATCTCCTATTGAACCTAATAAGGATAACTTCAATCTAAAGTCCGCTTCATTCAAAATGTCATTCCTATGGACGAAATTAACGTGTATTATATTGGAAACTTGAATTCAGTTATCAAAATTACATCTCCTGCTTATGAAGTTTTTTTGGGGGGTATGCTATGCTAAGCCTAACTCCACCTTTACAGTAGGAGATAATTAGCATGCCTGTGAGTCTGGACATGCACTCGCTATATGAATATATACTAAGGTTTCTGAAAGCTACCTAATGGGCTCATTCTACTAGTGTTCCGATTAATCTATGATTCAACACAAGCAAGATGCCAAGGGCAAATGCTTTAACATTTAACTTCATCTTTGTCCAGATGAAACCAGCTGCCAGATTTGGGTACATTTAATATCTATTGGAAACTTGACAATGAGTAGCAGCTTTTGGAATACACCAGTATCTCTAAAATTTCAAAAGCAAGAGCAAGAGTTCCTATTGAGATTCATTTTTCTTGCTTTCACTGCTACATAAATTTCCCATCCCTATCCTCTTTCCAGGCAGAAAAATGAAGGAGGGAGACCTTTCTTCAGTATTCCTTCTGTGTCAATCGATCTGTACTTTTTTCATTTCTCATTGCTTTCAAGTATAGGTGCATCACTGTGTCGGTCTAAAGTCATTCTTCATTTATGGGGCTAATAATTTAGAGGTAGGGTAGTGGAAGAAAATAATATTGAGCTGGGTGTATAAACAGGGAATTTATTTATTTATTTATTTATTTATTTGATTGACTGATTGATTGATTGATTTATATCCCGCCCATCTGATCTGGTTGACCAGATTACTGTCTCTTTCCTGGTTACCACAACCTGTTGTATTTCTCTGAACAACTTTCTTGGATATTCACACAATCCTTGCAATTTGCAATCTGACAAACTACAAAAACAACCCAAACTACGGATATTGGAGCTCTCTACAAATTCTTCTAATCCCCTAAAATGTGTTAGATTCCCCTCCCCATGACACAAACCGGGGGGAAATGAACCACAAACTGGTTCATTTTTCTAGGGTTATGAGTAGCTAAGAACCATGAGCCACCCCAATTTGTCATTTTTCCAAATTGTGGCCATCTCTACTTAGATACCTAACTAAATATTTAGGCTTATTGTAACTATAACGGAAATAGAAGATGCTACAGGATTAAGAAGGAGCATGAAGAACCTTATAATTCAGAATTAATGTTATACACAAGGTATTTCATATGAAGACAGACATTCAGGCTTATTTTCCCAGGCTTCTCCCTCCTCATGGCTATAAGGTCCTGATCAATCTACAGGTAGCTTAGGCACAACAGACCTTTTAAAAAATCAAGGTAAATGCTACATTTATGTTTTTTGGGGGGGATCCATGTATGTTCATACACATGACTACACTTAGAACATTATTATGTTTTCTTCAAGAGAAACCTTAAAC